GTCGCACGAATTCGCGAATTTTGTGCAAATTCCGGCATTTTTGAAAAGTGGGCGGGCTTGCCAAAAGTGGGAGCGGCTGCCCCGCCCACTTGCATTTTTATAGTGGGAGCGGCTGCCCCGCCCACTTGCATTTTTATATCTCACGCATAGACGCATGCATAAATACATGCAGCCAGCTGTGAAAATGCCCGGAAACGCTTGGTCCATAGTGACAATCGTCAAAAAAAAAAACAGCTCGTCAAGGTGTTAATGGAATGCAATCAATTAGGAAGTTTGGATGCGTTAGATCCAGGTCTAAAAGTTATAAAATTTTCTGTTTCAAGCTCTTGATATTAGGTTGTCCCAAAAGTAAACTCCTTTTTCAAACAATTTTAGCTGTTTTTGTTTTTTTACGAAACTTAGAGTATCATTCGATAGAGCAGATTAAGCTCTACAAAATTTTCACCAAGGATCCGCCTAAGTGCATTCCATGGAAAGTTTGAAGCCAAAATCGGAAAAAATTTTGTCACCCGAAAATTGGATTTCTGCGAAGAAAAACGGTACGGATCTCCAACTTGGTCATTATGCAGTAGGCACATAATAGTACTCAAATATGTCTTTACCGAATTTTCTCCTAGCATAGAAAGCGAGAAACAAAAACTGTCTAAAAATGGCAAACTCCGCCCCCAGCCCTCCCACATATGTCTATATATATTACAAACCTTACTAAGTATGATTTTGAAACCTTACCCTTGTATGTGCATATATTCGAGAAATACCAAGTTTTACATGAAAAACCCGAAAAAAGTGGCATTTTGGCATTTTCGGACCATCTTTTTTTTCTCAATTTTGAGTACCGGAGAAAATCCGCCAAATACATTTTTTGGGTACTGCTATTTTCTAACATATAAAGACCAAGTTGGAAGTCCGTGGGAATTCTCTTGAAGGAGATCCAATTTCTAGAGTTGCTGAAAAATCTTGGTTTTTGGCCCCAAATATCACCTGGATTACGACTTTGGTGGATTTATGACGGTGTTCTTGTAAAGCCTGCTTCGCTCCATCGAATGGTACCTTGAGTCTGTTAGGAGAACAAGAATAGCTTAATTTATTAGGTGGGTGCAAAAGTTCTGTCGTTTCATTTTCAAAAATCTGTAACTTCGCCAGATTTCAACGGATTTGCTTACTTGTAATTTTATTAGAAAGAATAGGTCTTCCGCTTTCAAGCGCTGTTTTGTTGTGCTTCTGTTTCACACTGAGTGCCGAGATAAAAATGGAAAACTAAGACCATGTAAACTTTGACCATTTTAAGTTAGGTCACCAAAAATCTGGAATGCTGCAGAAAAATCTGAAATCGTCAGTACATATGTTTTTTGGCCTACTCTCTGCAATTGTGAAGAGTTTGTGCTGTTTGGACGTCTCTGTGAGAAGTTATGATTTTCGCGAAAATTCACAAATTAATTGATTTTGGCGTTTTCCATGGTAGACTCGATATTCATAACTTCTCACAGAGACGTCCAAACAGCACAAACTCTTCACAATTGCAGAGAGTAGGCCAAAAAACATATGTACTGATGATTTCAGATTTTTCTGCAGCATTCCAGGTTTTTGGTGACCTAACTTAAAATGGTCAAAGTTTACGTGGTTTTAGTTTTCCATTTTTATCTCGGCACCCAGTGTGAAACAGAAGCTCCACAAAACAGCGCTTGAAAGCGGAAGACCTATTCTTTCTAATAAAATTACAAGTAAGCAAATTCGTTGAAATCTGGCGAAATTACAAATTTTTGAAAATGAAACAACAGAACTTTTGCACCCACCTAATATTTGAAAATAGAGTTTACTTTTGGAACAACCTAATAGAGATTAAAGGTGAAACTTAAGTCAATCACAATACTGCATCTAGCGCCAAGATGACAGAAATGGCCCTGCATTAAACTTGACAGATTAATTGCACGGCAACCGGAGTAACTTTAACGAAGAGTTCTAAGATTTGAATGAAGATTTTTTTCACGGATAACTCCAGAATGAGTAAGTTGATAGGCAGTAATGAATGAATGTTTCTGCTCTCTCTTCGTCCCAGTTCCAACAAGCGGCGCTAGAAAGGATGCTTCGTCCGGAATTTTTGAATTCACCTATTCTCACTTACAACAGCTTGAGTTCTTGCTGGCAAAGATATTTTGCACTTCCCTGAGCAATAAAGCTTTAAGTGCTTTGCGTATTTTTGAGAAGTCGCCGCCATGTTTGATAGATTCGCCTTGGCTCCGTTTCTGCAGACGTGTTTATTTCTTGAGGTTGTAGGCGATTTTTCGCCATCGACAGAATTGTCTTACTGCTATATGGAGCTAAAGGAGCTGATTTTGCCATCAAAATAGTGACGGTGGAGAGAGATCTTATTTCTTTCGCAAATTTCACATCAAAATCACATTAACTCTGGAACTCGTTTGGCAAGCTGTAACGAGTAGTTGGTTGATGCAATTACACTTTATTCGGAACTGTGCTGAAAAAAGAAAGCCTTGTTTTCAGAAATTTAAGCGATTATTTGCTTTTATTTTTTTGTCTTAAGGTTGTAAGCACCTTTAAACATCCTTGAGTATTGTGGAGTAAAAATAGCGTTTTCATGAGTCCTGCCCGATTTGCAAAAGATCTTCCATTCTTAAATTCTTGTTTTGTGATTTTTTAAAGAAAAATTATCAACTTTCTAGCGGAATTTGGAGCAAAATCACTATGCACAAATCTGGGTAATACCTGTTAGAACTTCAAGTGTATTTTTTTACAATTCAACTGAAAACCCAATAACGAAAAGTGATTTTATTTTTGATTTTTTGTGACCTATTGTTGTTGAATGTGGACAATTACAATCGATTTCTCTTCAAGGTTATCTTTGCAATTCCTTCGTCGACTTTTGATTCTGTTTGCAAAGTCATGAGTTTGTTCGATAAGCAAGCCTGGAAGTTGCAGATTTTACTTACTTTACTTATACACTCAAAGCTGTAACACAAAAGAAAAAAGAGCAAAATGTAATGCCAGCTAGTCTTAAACCAACGGAAGTTAAACGCGCACGTAAGAATGAACTAAAAAACTCATCGTCAGTCCCGCAAAACCTGCCAAACGATCAGCATAAATGGAATACTCGAGCAAAAACGACTAAACAGCAGAATCTTGTTTCCTCTAGATTGATAAACCCTTTTTTGGTTGTCAACGAGCCTGCAGGCGGAAGCTAGCTGACTTGACCGCGTAAAAACTATCTGATGAACCCAAGACTCTGGATGAATTTAGAGTTTAGTCCAAAAGATGATTAAAAAGTTTATTTTTCGCGAAAACGGCCATGAAAAGGATCGTGTAGAACGTCATTCTTGCAAGTTTCTACTCAAGAAACTGAGGAATTTACAGAAATGTAGCTCACGGTGGTCATCGTCTATTGTGGCAACTACCGCCATAAAAAATTTGGTAACTGCTTTACACTCGCATTTGCCCTTCTGCGCAGGGCTTTTACTTTTGTGAAGCTATCGATGAGTTTTCCAAAAAATGCGTACTGTTTGATTTTAAGAGCTCTCTTTTCATGGAGTTTTTATTGTTTGATTCTAACCCAAGAGTCATGGCGATTATTGTCCTCCTATCTTTTTTCAAAGGAAGGTGGACGGTTTGAGATCTTTTGAAGCGAAGAGTGCGCTACCTTCGAAAATTGGTAAAAAACGGAGATCGAGAAAACGATGTTTTAACTAACTTTGACAGATATTCCAAAATCAAAAGCATCAAAAAACCTCATAACCAGAAAACGAATTCTACAAGAGAATCACTTAACTTAACCTGTGATCCTTCACGCCTTTCAGTTCTACAAAGTAAGGCGTAAATTTGTAAATTAAATCAGTACAAATTTTCAGCCTTTGGCAGTAAGCATACAGTTGTGACGGTGCGATCCCACCAAAACTGCGTGATTTCCGTGGCGGGACTTAGTTATAACTTCTTCTAAAACAACTTTATTTGGAATCCAAGAAGATTTGGCTCCAGCTTGTTGAGACGGATCTCTCAGTATACATTACGCCCGTAGCTATGGTGAGCAACAATACATGTTAATAATGTCATGACAGATGCCAATACAATACAATGCACCATGGAAAACGAGCACGATGTATACAGAAAAATTTGCCTCATCAAGCTGAAGCCAAATCTTCTTGCAGATTCCAAATGAAGTTGTTTTAAAAGAAATTATAACTAAATCCTGCAAATCCCGCAAATCCCGCAATTTTGGCCGAATTCCACCGCTACAACTGTAGGCTTCAAAACACATTTTTCATCGTGTATAAAAGTGCGACACTAAATCCTACTATAATTACGTATTGCTATTCTAGGAGCGCGGTCTTCTAACTGAACTTTCTCATCAACCATCTCAAAGACAGAGACAACGGATGTGAAAACATTGAGATTTTATAGATGCATCGCCCTTACGACTGGTTGTTAATGATTCGCTCAGAAAACTGGGGCACCGTATGCATATTGTCTGTCAAAATTCCATTAGGATACCGAAGGGTAATCTATAATTGTGAAAAAGTATTTGTGCCACTGAATGATGCCGTTGATCGAGACATTCATATCACTGAGCAGTATGGTACTGTACTATGTTTGCTGGTCTAGTTGGCAAAAATTGAATTTTTGGTTTACGACAGTATTTTCGTCGTGATTTCCACCTTCAAAGGATAGTGACTATCACAATATGTTGGAAAAGAAAAGCAGCTACTGAAAGAAATGAAAGTGGAGGATTTTACGTAAAGGCTACAGCATGACGAAGGCGCAGAAGCAGCATATGTTGAGCGAGCGCGAATGCGACGCGCGCGTATCTTTACCGTTGTAAACCCTGCACTTCATGCGCTCTAAGGCCAATAAAGCTGCGTTCGCGCCAAAGGATATTGTGCCTCTGTCATGCAGCTGCCTTCAATTTTTCTTATAAGTGAAAAGGAGAGTTTTTATACTCAGATTCAGACCGTCCTTGCTCGATAAGTGCAGTTCAAAAGATTTTTTATTCATATTCAGAACTGTGTTGTCTCCTTCACAGGTATATCGGCATTTGAAGCTAGAACAATAGAGTTGCCACCATCGGCGACGATTGTTTGGCCGACGATGTAAGAAGACTGGCTTCTATCAGCCAGAAAAGCGATAATAGTTGCGATTTCTGACGGCTGGGCTGTTCTGCCTCTAGGAACTTTGAATGGATTTCTGGCATAAGTAGCGTAAAACTGAAAAAAAGGATGAATCAGGTTAACATAGATTACCATAAACTTTTACCTTTGCTGCAGCTTCATCAGATACCCCGCTGTTTTTTGCAATATTTGTCTTAACTCCATAGGGACTGAAAGGATCAAAATTAATAAAAATTTCTTAATCCATTGGTAAGTAAAGTCGTTTTTTACCTTACATTATTCACCCGCACTCCTTCAGCTATAAGTTCGATTGCTACAGCTCGCATCATCTGATCCAAAGCTGCTTTCGACATCGCGTAATACGGTATTTTTGCGTACTAAACTCGACAGTTTATAGTAATTTTAAGGTGCTGCTTACCGCTGTTGGCAACCCGGCAATGCCGGAAACATTTACAATCTCGCCCTTTGACGATACCAAATATGGACGAGCCAATTGGATCAACTCAACCACACTAAAGCTCAAATCATGAATTATATCATTTTTACAAAATTAATCTACCTGTATACATTTACATCCATGGTCTTCTTAAGGAGATCGGTGCTAGCCTTCAGCCCAGCTGAACCATCGGGGCTAAGGAATGTACCACCGGCGTTGTTTACCTGAAACCTACCCTGGTCGATACAGTCAGCGGTTTTTTTTTTGCGCGACATAAATACAAGTAAAGCTAATTTGTTTAAAAGGATATTCATTTCAAATTCAAAACAACGAATATCTTACCAAGATATCTAAACGACCAAATTTGCGGATTGTGCTTGAAATGATCAGCTCTCTTCCATCAGAATCGGTAACATCCGCCTGCACAATATTCACCTTCTCATTGTGAACGCCAGCTTTAAGAATGGCTTTCTTGGTGGCCTGTAAAATAATTATTGATAGACATTTAAGTAAAAAAAATGCAGCAAAACAGGATTATATCAGAGTCCTACTGGTATTTCCTACAATTTCGAAAATTTCGCGATTACGTATACGTATTCATTCTAGGTGGACAAATCAACAAAAGTTAACCGATAAGTTTTCTCCAATTTATTGTGCTAGAACTCAAAATCAACGGCACATAATCAAAGGTTTGTATTCTTTGTTAGATTTGCATGCCAGTGGCATACCGAAGGGAGAGGCGGGGGCGAGAATGAATTTGAAAGTTGCTTACATTAGTTGTAAAAGTGTGCAAGTACTTTTTTATACTCGCGAATGATTGATGTGATTACTGGAAATTCAATTCTTGTGAAAAATAATTTTTGAAGGGCTGTCGCCACGCCCTCTCTAAATTTTTAAGGTTTGGGCCCAGAAAAATTTTGGGAAGCATCTCAATAAACTTCTCGGAGTGCGTAGCGAACGCTATGCGCTACCAATTAGAAAAATTTTTTGCATCCCTTTCCGAACAGAAATTCTGAAACCGCCACTGATGCATATTTACTTATTTCAACCTTTCTTATACAGAAAAAATAACCAAAAGCGTTATTTTCGGGGCACAGGTTTTAAAGAGTTTTTCCGCAGATTTATGCTTATCTGTTTTTACGTTTATACTCAAATATCCATTAAAGTACCTCGAGACCATGCTGCTTTCTTCCTGTGATTGTGACCTCAGCTCCTTCTATAGCAAATAATATAGCTGTTACGGCTCCAATTCCAGATGAAGAACCTGAAGAATGGAGATCACAAGATCATATAGGATCATAGATCAGTTTTACCTGTAATTATGGCTACTTTTCCTTGAAAACGTGCCATGCTTACGAACTCTCCAAAGTTTTCAAGGTGGCGTCTTGAGCAGCGAAGCAAACGAAAATTCGATTCGCGAACTCTCAAATGCAAAATGCTTCAGACTAAGGAAGAACTGCCCAAAATAAAAGTTACTTTGGGTGGTGCAAAATGATCAGCAAATGTGCCCGTTGCAAAATCTACGACAGCGCGCGACTATGAAAGCATGGACAAACAGCGCAGACAGAACTGCCTTGAAAGTTTCATTAAAGATAGCGTCTCAAAAGAATTTTTCAGATCATGATGCATTGTTTTTACCAGCCTACATAGGCACGCTTATAGATTGAATATCCTGATAAAATCGCGGCGAGATGCAAAAGACCACGACAACGTTTTGGAAATGGTAGAGAAGCTGGAGAGTAGTACTGACAGAAAATCAGTTGCATAAGTCCTGATGTAAATTACAGAAGTTCATTTTCTGTTTTTCTTTCATAAGAGCTTGTTCATGGGAGATTACTGTAAAATGCGCTGACAGGTTTCTGACTTAGCAGTTCATCAGGCGATAGCTTATGAACTGACGTGCGCATTACTCCACTGGTTATCTCAGAGTGTATGTAGCTCCGCGAGTCAATAATCAATTGTCTCCTTATGAGTATTATATGTGTAATTATATCTATGGAAGATGACATGTGGGATTGCACAGTGTGCAGTTGTCACGACTTTCTGTATTATTCTCTCTGTAGCCAACACTACATTGGGGAAGAAATCACACTCCAATTACTTGAATCAGAAATTTCTCCACTACTTAACATGTACATTAAAAGGGATCTCGCCGAATACTCAGCCAGCTAGCGGTTTTTTTAGTATTTTCTTATCTGGGATTTTTTCAATATTCTCGGCTTCCTGCTGAAGAACCACACCAAAATATAGGCCCGTAGTAAATCCCATTCATCTCAGGTGACTGAGATTAGTCATTCAGAAGAACTTCTTCGGGTGATTCTAATCCCGCCCACCCCGTGCTTTACGATAGTCAATTGAACAGCCAGAAGAATGTTCGGTCAAGTGTCACAGTCAGTTCACCGGAATGCCACTTATCCGAGGTTGAATTTTCGAGTGACCCGAGAGGGATAGTGCGCAAAAGAGGAGAATCAGACAAATTTCACGTAAGTTGCTCGTGAGTAACTTACGGGGCAGTTTAGCTGACGTATTTTTACGGTACAAAAATGCACAAAACTGCACAATACTAGGGCCCCAAGAGGATAGGATCAATGAACAGCTGATTGCGGCGAGGAAAGCAAGGAAAATAGTTTTTTCTTTATTTGAACAGTTGGCTTAGTTATTTTTCTGAAAATCTGCATTGAACGATAATTTATTTATTTACTTAATTCTATGGTCCAAAAATTTTAGTTTTTAATGTAGTTTAAAATCTTGAAAATCAAAAATCTTCAAAATCTGTCAGTTTTGTTTTATCTGTCCATTTGTTAGGCGAAATCCTTGATAGCGGTCACCATAGATTCTTCTCGATAGTGTCCGTTATCGAAGCTTGCCCGGCGATGGCGCGAAAAATCGCCACCCGGCATCGAACCACATAACCTTTCGCACTGAACCCCATTCACTTAGCCATTCGACCAGACCTGCCGGTAGGCTTTGTTTTTGAGAACTCTCAAGACTTTTATGTGTAGAAAATGATCCGCACCCCGATCACTAGCTCACCGGATGCCGGACTGAATCGTTCTACGTTCAGGCCCGCCCTCAGCCGAGGTGGGCTGAACAGGTTACTATGGGCCGATATATAAGACATACTAGCGACCCTACGGGTCACTAGCAAGCGGTTTGGGACAGATACATTCAACTATTGTGCATATTCTTGCGATTTTGGATGTCAACGAATGGATCTGACAATTTGACGTTTTTTTATCAGGTTGTCCCATAAGTTCCGTCCGTTTTCACTTTAAATCGCAATAATTCATGAACTTTTTGATTCTAGATAGAATTCGTGGTGCCGTTTGATAGAGCAGAGCAAGCTCTACAAGATGACTTTCTTACTTCCGCATCATTTCAAAACCATATCGAGTTTGAAGCCAAGAACCAAAAAAATCCAACTGACCAAAAAAATAAAGAAAAAATCATAACTCCTTCCAAAAAATCCTAGAAAATCTCCAATTTGCTCACAGATACGCTATCCATATCAAACATTTATATATACTGTTGCTGTATTTTTTTCGTTGGAGAGAAGACAAGAAAACAAAAATTTTCATGTTTTTGTCAAAGTGATGCTGCGCTGTCCCCAAATAGCTGGTTGTAAACTATGGACCAGTACGAGTACAGACATGAGTTTCATGAATTTTCAGCGCTCTACAGGCCTTAGTTCTCGAGAAACATTGGATTTGGCTTCGCTTAGTTGAGTGTCCCATACTGAAATGGATATTTTTCGAGAACTAAGGCCTGTAAAGCGCTGAAAATTCATGTCTGTACTCGTATTGGTACGTAGTTTAAAACTATCTATGTGGGGACAGCACAGCATCACTTTGACAAAAACATAAAATTTTTTCTTGATTTCTATGCAAGGAAAAAATACAGCAACGTATATATAAATGTCTGATGTGGATAGCGTATCTGTGAGCAAGTTAGGGATTTTCTGGGATATTTTGGAAGGAGTTATGATTTTTTTATTTTTTGGTCAGTTGGATCTTTTTGGTTTTTGGCTTCAAACTCGACATGGTTTTGAAATGATGCGAAAGTAAGAAAACCATCTTGTAGAGCTTGCTTTGCTCTATCAAACGGCGCCTCGAAATCTATTTAGAATAAAAAAGTTCATGAATTATTGGGATTGAAAGTGTAAACGGACGGAACTTATGGGATAACCTGATATGTTACATGATAAAGCAGCAATTTGAAAACTGTTGCCACAATACCCTTTTAAAGGCAGTGTCTCACCAAAATTTAGTTGCCGGGTTTTTTGCATTTTGCAAGCCTGTCGGACATTGTCTAGGACTGTATGGGCCTAAAATCGCACGAAGTTCCCAAAAACCCCATTTTCTGGAGGCTCCGCGGAAGCAACGCGGACGAGTTGTACCTTCCAACTTCAGCCTCAGCTACAGTGGCAGCAACACAGAGGAGGTGGATGCCAGGTGGAGGGACATGTTCAAACGCGTAAGGAGGGAGATTGAAGGAGTCGTCCGCGCGTACCAAGTCGCTCTCCGCGTACCACTTTGAGCGAATTTTCCTCAGCGTGGAGGGGGTCAAATTGAGTGCGACTTGTTGCAATGGCCTATTCAGAGGCCCCTATAATAGAACTAGCTGGCTTACCCGGCTCCGCCCGGCCCTGTCAAAACACTATGTCAAACAACACTATCCCTATTCCTGTACGAACCTTTCCCTGTGCCCACGCCTACATGCCAAAACACTATTCCCGCTGTTTTAGCAATCAGCATGCTCGATTACCCCCTGTGCCACCTCCCAGCCCCGTTGCTCAAACTTTGCAAAAAAAATGGATAAAATCAATAAAAGTAATCCATAATCCTGAAAATGATATTGTATTCGCAATCCCCATGCTCGATTACCCCCCTGTGCAAACTCCCAGCCCCGCAAGTCAAACTCTGCAAAAAAATCGATAAAATCGATAAAAGTAATCGATAATTCTGAAAATGATATTGTATTCGCAATCCCCATGCTCGATTACCCCCCTGTGCAAACTCCCAGCCCCGCAAGTCAAACTTTGCAAAAAAATCGATAAAATCGATAAAAGTAATCGATAATTCTGAAAATAATATTGTATTCGGAATCCCCATGCTCGATTACCCCCCTGTGCAAACTCCCAGCCCCGCAAGTCAAACTTTGCAAAAAAAATCGATAAAATCGATAAAAGTAATCGATAATTCGGAAAACTAAAATTGTATTCGGAATCCCCATGCTCGATTACCCCACTGTGCCAACTCCCAGCCCCGTAGGTGAACTCTGCAAAAAAATCGATAAAAATCGATAATATCGATATCGATCGATGACGAAAAGTAGCCTACGACACCCGCCGGGGCCCGAAGTGTATGTGTGCCAAGTTTGGTCCGGATCGGTTCAGAAATGGAATTTTCTATTCGGAACATACTTACACACAGACAGACAGACAGACAGACAGACAGACATACAAACAGACATTCAGCTTTATATAGAAGGATATGTGAAAGTCCGTGCGACCTCAACTTTGATGAGACACTGCCTTTAAGGAAACAAACATTAGTAATGAGTGAATAGCTATAATTTGACATTTGTTGTTCTCACTGCGAAAGCATCTTAGCAAGAGCATTTTCCATTTTTTCATATTTGAAATACGAATCATCTATTAGGTTGATGCATAAGTCCTGCATCAAAATAGGTACTGACCGCGGTGATCCGGGATAATCCTATATTCCAAATAGGATTCGATAAATCATTAGATAGAGCAAACCTAGCTCTACAAGATAGTGCTTGAAGTTTTGCACCAGCTTTGATCCAAGCGAAGATTGCCAAAAACGAAAAAGAACCAAGCGCTCTAAAAAAGAAAAAATTGGATGTTCGTTCAAAAAGTGCTTCAAAATTCCTAACTTGCTCATGCACTGTCGTATAAGACATTTCTCTATGCAGTTGTTAGATTTTTCGCTCAGCTAGAAATTGAGAAAACGAAGTGATTCATGTTTTTGCCAGATTAGTGCTGAGATTCTCGCACCAACAGTTGTATAATACATACCGTTAGCAGTAAAACTTTACATTTTCGCCTTCTAAAACAGCTAGTTCAAGAGAAAAGACAAATCTAGCCTCCCTTATCCAAATTTTTCTTGCCTAGTTGCTAAAAATTTGATATGTAAACCAACCGGAGGTCCTACAGTATACAACTGTAGTGCTAAAACATCTCAGCACTGTTTTGGATAAAACATGAAAAACTTCGTTTTCTCATTTTAGCTGAGAGAAAAATACAGCAAGTGCATAGAGAGCTTGGATCTATTTTGTTTTTGGCTTCATTCTTCGCTTGGATCAAAGCTGCTGAAAAACTTTAAGCA